CTCTTTTCAAATGTTGGAAGCCACAATGAGGTCTCCCTGGAGCCTTCTCTTCTCCAAGCTAAACAAGCCCCATTCCCTCAACCTTTCCTCATAGGAGAGGTGCTCCAGCCCTCTGATCATCTCAGTTCTCCTCCTCTGGACCCACTCCAAGAGCTCCAAGTCCTTCCTGTACTGGGGGCCCCAGGCCTGGATGCAGTACTGCAGATGGGGCCTCACAAGAGCCAAGTAGAGGGGGACAATCACCTCTCCATCTGCTGGCCATTCCTCTTTTAATGCAGCCCAGGATATAGTTGGCCTTCTGGGCTGCAATCGCACACCGCTGGCTCATGTCCAGCTTCTTGTCCACTAGGACCCCCAAGTCCTTCTCTACAGAGCTGATCTCAAGGGGTTCTTCTCCCAGTCTGTATAAACAGCTGGGATTGCCCTGGCCCACATGCAACACTTTGCACTTGGCCTTGAAGAAGCTCATTAGATTCACATCTACCTACATTCTTCCAGGTAGATGCTTGTTAGACTGGTCTTTCATCTAATTCAGTATGTGCTCTCACAACTTCTGCAGGTCATCGATACCTATGTTGTTTTTCTCCTTATAGCTATAAAATTCTTGCATGTTGCCTCATTTGTATTGCTTGTTAGAAATTAAAATTGCTGCCTCTAACTATGACTTCCACGAAAATAGATAGCTGTTACAAAGATAAATGAAACTTCAGAGTACTCAAAGGTTGTTAACAGATCTCCCGTCAGTTTTCTTTTGTATTTTATCTCTGTACAATGAAGCAATCTAAATTAGTGAATTTTCTACTTAGATCTTGTTGGCTTGACTTTTGACCATTCTGCATCTCTACCCAGACGATTTCAGAGGGTCCATATCTTTCTAAAACTGTTTCATAACCAAAATTTTACAGTATTTCTATGTATGCAGTACTTTTATGTATGAAGTATGGTAGAAAGACCTAACTACTGTCAGTTAAACTTGAGTTCACGTGTCTTACAAAATATCCTTCTGTTTACACATCAGTGTGGTATTTCCCTTTCTCGCAAGATGATATTTCTGACATCTGGCCTGCTGCAACTCTAAATCCCATTTGCAAAGTAACACATACCACTAGAATCTGATATTTTGACTTGTGCAGTTGTTTATTTCTCCCTCCTTCTTCTGTCTTCAGTGTCATTTTATTCTATTTTCACCAGAAATTTGCCAAGATTATATCCAGATGATACCAAGCAGTATCATCTGAAAAATGTAATAAGAACATGTATTTTGTCTCAGGACTATATGAAAATATTTGGTTGTATTTAGGGCTCTCAGAGAACCTTATTTGGTACAGTAAGATATGCAAAGAATATTATTTTCCTACTGAATTTATATCCTATTTACTGAGGCTTGAATTAGAATGTATTTCTCTAGTTTACTTATCAAAATATATTGAGATTGTTGGCAATTTTCTCTACTCCCTTATCAAAGCACTTTTAGATAACCAGAAAGAAAAAACAGATTTATCTGGTATGATTTATTTTTTATAAATCCATGTTAGCAAATATCTACCTACTTTTTTCTTCTCTCTCCTTATAAATAGTTGAAGTGTTCTCAGCTTTTTCTGATTCCGAATTTTAACTTTCTGTAATTCCTTGTCTTTTTTTTTCTTCTGCCACACACACTTGCCTTGTGTTTCTTGTTCTCTGTAAATTCTTAAATACAGTAGATAGAATCATAGAACCACAAGGTTGGAAAGGACCTACAAGATCATCTAGTCCAACTGCCCACCCATTACCATTGCTACCACAAGCTACTAAACCTTATCTCCTAGCTCCTCATCCAGACAAATAGTCAGATCCAGATAGTGGCTGAAATAGATCCAGATAGTTGCCGGAGGATGGATTCAGCTAGGATTTTATCCTAGAACTGAACTTCATCAGACCCATACAATCAAAAAAAGAAAAATTAATAAAAATATTTAAGATAGACTTTTCCTTATCTATGCACTTACTGTAACTGTGGAACACATGATAAGTGGCTGAACTCGACTTTTGGGGTAGTGAAACATACATTTGACAGACCGAAGATATGAAAAAACAATCAAAACATTTTAGGACTCAAAACGTTTTGAAAAACATTTTTTAAATCAAATCCTTATTGTTTTCATTTAAATCTTATGTATAAAGTTGTGTAGATCTATATATTACTTTAATTCTCAGTGTCTATGTGAACCTCTGCTGCTGTTGAGTTCATACAAAGCTGCTAAGCTGTACTGATAACCTTTGAT